ACGACACCGGCACGAAGCAGTCATGACTTTTATCCGTACAAAATAGAAACTATGGAACATAATCCTGGCATTTACTTCGAAAAATTAAATGATCTTCGTATATACGACAACCAATGGAGATTACTCATATATGTAGATATGTTAGGCATGTTAAATCAATCGGACTCTTTACACCGCTACTTGAGTGCAATAGACACTAAATGCACATCTATCAGTAATTACTGCATAGTCGATTCTCAAATTAAGCTAGTAGGAAATAGAATACATGCGATTGAGGAATATATAACACAGATTGGAAAACTAACAACGTTAAATCAAGATAAAAATGAAAAACAAACCATACGCCAAAAACGGGCACCTTTCGAGTTCATTGGTAAAATTTCAAAAGTTCTTTTTGGAACACTGGACAGCGATGACGCAGACTATTATAACGAACAAATCGATAGGGTATATAAGGATACAAAACACATAGCTAAGCTGTTAGAAGAGCAAACTAATATTTTTAAATCCAATATAGATAGAACAAGTTACCGAATAAACGAGCTCCGAAATAAATTTGCAAATATTACCAAAGCAGTAGAAACTCTTCAAATCATTTCAAATCGTGTTACAATGGCAGTAAATTACAACACTGAAAATTTACAAATAACGTCGTCCCTGATCCAATTAGATCAATGTTTAAACGAATATGAATTGGACCTTAATACAATTATTGACGCAATTTTTTTAGCTAAGCAAGGCATGATCCACCCTAAAATAATCACTCCGACAGAACTTGCCATTACGATAAAAGAAATCCAAGCCTCGAACCCATCCATAATTTTCCCAACTCCTTCGGAACCAAATTATATGGAAGAACTAATTAGAATTTCAAAAGTACAGGTGGCATATGCAAAAAGCCGTCTCATTTATATACTGGAAATCCCATTATTGACAATCAACATATTTAATTTATATAAATTAATACCAGTACCAATGGTACAAGAATCAATAGATAAAAACTACGCGTATATAACACCCGCAGCTCCATATTTAGCAATAACAAGCGATCGTGTTTTATACACTCCGCTAACCGAAAGCCAAATCGAAAAATGTAAAGAAACCATGGGTATATATCTTTGTAAGCGCACGAGACCGTTATTTCACACCGTTGCAAAAGTTACATGTGAAGTAAATCTATTAATAAATCCAAAAATCGTCGATTTCACTACCTGCGATATTCGGGTCATAAAAATGCTCACTTCATTCTGGACTCAACTAACAGAACCGAATACCTGGATATTTTCAACTTCAATTGCAGAACCCTTACACATAACTTGTCCTAACAAGGATCCGATACACGTTATAATAAACTCAACCGGAGTAATTAAAATTGCTCCCAAATGCATAGCGACTTCCACGGTTGTCACGCTAACCACCACGCGAGTTCTCGAATCTAAAATACGAAAATCATATGTACCGCCAATTCAGTTAAATATTACTAACTTAGACCGATCGCTAGCATCTACAAACCTTTCGGAAGTACATTTAAATATACCGCATATAAAGCCATACGTTGATACGAATGATCTGGCTACTACAGGCACTAAATTAAGCGATATTGTTAACCAAGCAAAAGAAATTGCTAAGCACAAAAGAACAGAACAACGTATAACAAACATACACTCCGTCTTACACTTGACGGGTCTCGTTATCATATCACTTACTATCTTGGATATATTATATAAATTGTCAATCTTTACGAAAATAATAAGACTATTTTCATTCTGTAAGCGAGATAAAAACCGTTCTGCGCCGACAACTACAACAAACCTATCGTCAGATCCGATTATACCATCATCTAGTAATGTTAAACCCGAAATCATATTACTAAAAAACATAGAAAATTATTCAACAGCAGCGACAACAAGCCAAAATCGAGCGTACTATGCGACACCATTGTAACTAGTAATAAGTACTATATTGTCACTGCCCAACAGAAGAAAAGGAACGCGTGCACACACACACACACCCGTAAACGTTACACTGACACATAGACACATATATAAATTCGTGACAGATAAACAAATGTATAAAGCAAAATACGCAACAAACACCATACAAGCTATCGAAGGAAGATGCACACCCGTTAGGGTATACATCTTCCATTTTAAAGGGGGGGCGTGTTATATCCTACTCCTCCCGTCGTTATTAACGTCATTATAATCATCATTATTATTATTATCATTATTATCATTATTATTATTATTATTATGTCATTACTATTATTATTATTATTATTATTATTATTATTATTATGCGTATTACTGTAACCATTTAATTATAAGCAAGTAGCATAAGAGTAACTTCATGATGAGAATGTGCAAGAACAGCACAGTCCTATTCCCACAGTCCAACTGTCCTTTCCTGCTTACCTACCCGGAATCTCCCTTCCCTTCAAACCAAGACTCCTAACCCTGATCCAGACCGAACGAAGAGGCGACACTCTCGTAAAGTACTCCATTCCAAACAGTTCGTAAAATATACGTTTTTATACTCAGCATTTTATAATCATTAAGTTAATTTCCCTTGCACCTCTTGAAATCGGGACTAGGACCCAACGTTTTTCCCTCGCGGTTGTATTTCCACCCACTACATCGGTGGGGATATAACAATAATTATGGCTCTATCGATACCAGCAGCATAATATGACTAATATTTTAAGTTGGATTGAAAATAATAAGAGCAATAAGTATAATAATAATTGTTCTATCGATAACAGCACCATAATACGGCTAACAATATAAGTTAGATTGGTAGCAATAAGACTAATATATATAATAATTATCGTTCTATCGGTAATAGCAGCATAATATTGGTAATAATATAAGTCTAATTGTCGTTCTATCGATAATAGCAGCATAATTTGTCTAATTACTTAAGTTATATAATAATTATCGTTCTTTCGATACTAGCAGCATAATATGGCTAATAATTTAAGTTAGATTGAATATGATAATAGTAATAAATATAATAATTGTCGTTCTATCGACATTGGCAGCATAATAATGGTAATAATATGAGTTACCTTGAAAATAATAAGAGTAATATGTACAATAATTATCATTCTATCGGTACTGGCAGCATAATATGGCTAATTATTTAAGTTAGACTGAAAACAGTAACAGTAATAAGCATAATAATTATCGTTCTATCGATAATAGCAGCATAATATGGCTATGAACTTAAGTTAGATTGAAAACAATAAGAGTAATAAGTATAATAATTATCGTTCTATCGATACTAGCAGCATAATATGCCTAATAATTTGAGTTAATGGTAATAATATAACATAAATTGAAAGAAAATAACAGTGATAAGCATAATAATTATGGTTCTATCGATAATAGCAGCATAATAT